GTGTATAAAATAAACCATGAGAGTTTTACCAGCCAGTTCTACTCTTAAGTAATTAATGCTTATAGAACATACGCATATTTATTCATACACCCTTAACTTTTATTGTACAAAAATGGGATGGTGTTATATGAATTGTATGCAATTTGATATTTTAAAATATCATTCCTTGCCGATACCTATAAAACTATATAATTTATTTTTAGGTGTCACTTTTATAAACAATGGGTACTGAGATTTCTAGTATTTTGTCAATGGTGCTAAAAGTTATTGGCATAAATTCCTACTCTTAGTACTCATGGCTTATAGCGTTTGTCATTTTAAATTTCAGTAGATTATTTTGGTAGAGTCTACCAAATTGTCTACAAAATTTGTGGTAACAATTTCCTCACCCACAAACATTGTACGAAAATGTCCATCTTCCTCACCATTGGCATTACGAGATATTGTCAGTCTTAAAAATTTTTTGTCCTTCTGCATGTAAAAAATTTACAAGTTCCTTTCCCATTCTGGTCTTCTCTAATGCAGCATGTCCCAGACTTTAGGATTTTATTAAAATTAATTAATGATAGGGGAAAATCCCTTGAAATTGATGTGTTTGGCAAGCAAGAAATGACATTCCTTTCCACCCCAATCTTAGAATGTCAGTATCTTTTCATTAAAGAACATAGCTTAATCTTGGTAGGGTTAGGGCTTCCCTGGTGGCGCAGTGGTTAAGAATCCACTTGCCAATGCAGGGGACATAGGTTTGAGCCCTGGTCTGGGAAGATCCCACATGCCACGGAGCAACTAAGCCCGTGCACCACAACTACTGAGCCTGCACTCTAGAGCCCACGAGCCACAACTACTGAAGCCCATGCGCCTAGAGCCTGTGCTCCGCAACAAGAGAAGCCACTGCAATGAGAAGCCCGCGCACTGCAACGAAGAGTAGCCCCCGCTCTCCACAACTAGAGAAAGCCCGTGCACAGCAACAAAGACCCAATGCAACCAAAAAAAAAAAAAAAAAATCTTGGTAGGGTTATAAAGGACATAATTTCAGAATTTAAAAATATTGAAAAAAATTATTTCATCGTAGACCAGAAGCCCTTTGTCATGGACCAGCTCTAGTCTGCAGACCCGTGTAGGAAACCACTGATGTAATACATGTTTAAGCAGCTTTATTTGGACACTTTTCTCTTTCCTTGAAAATTTTGGGAAGTACATAATGTCCATTTTTTTAGTTACCTTATAATTTATCAGAGGTCCATAAATCTTTTGTCTTAAGTCACAAGCCCCCCTCCAAACTCTGTCCTTGACACTACATCAGTTGTCAGGTGTCAGCCTTGTGCTCTTTCTTTTCCAAAGTCAGACACTTTGCACTGAGGAGATGGAAATATTGTCTGCAACCACACGTCCTTCAGAGTCCTCTTTGTCCCAGGTTTCTTCTGGTTGTATAATTTGCTCTCACATGTATCAGCTAAAGGTTGCCTATAACAAACTCTGCATCAGGCCTCAGAACACACTGGAGGAAGGAGCATCATTAGCAAGGTCAGGTCTGCAGAGGGCTCCTCCTACCCCATTAAGAGTCACCAACCAGGAGAATGTGGTCTTGTCTTCCTGGGTTGGGGGAAGCCTCTGTGCATCTGTTGGCATCAATGAATCCTTAGTATTCTGTCTAGGAATTCATTATTCTCGCAAGTGCCAAGCTGAGATTGTCTTTCCTCCTCAACCCTAGTGAAGAGTGATGTTTAGTAGGATAAAGGCAAAGGCTTTTCTAGTATAATAATGCTGAGCTTATGCTATGAAAAACAGTCAACATGAGCAAGTGAAGAAATGGTTCATCTTGAGCTATTTCACCTGGATGGGGTTGGCACGGACCCTCAAAATCTCAAGCATCTCACTTGCTTTCTCCAGATAGACCAGGACCCTGGGGGAGGGGGTGGAGATCAGAGAAAAAGGACCCTCCAGACCCCATCTAAGAAGGACTTGGTGTGAACTGACAGGTCACATGATGAGAAAAGTGATGTTTTGCACCATTCATTGGACACTTATCAGCCAATAGGATTATTTTCTATCTGCTCACAAACTGTACCTGCAGCTGTGAGATTTCAGCGTGACATGCCAGAGTGGACAGAGGTATTCATCAAGATTTCACCACCCTTTTGGCAATGAAACCAGACTGCATTTTTAGCACACATATTTCAGTGTCTATCTCCCGAAGAGGAAGTTATACTTAGCACATTTCCTGCTAGCCACTGAACAGTGCAAGACCTTCTGGGTCTGGAGTTAGTCACAGCCCTTTATGTCTATCTGTGGAATCCCTCCTTGTAAACTGCTAGGGCTTTGAGGAGCCCGAGTTTATAGCATGAACTCTTACCATAAATCCTTAGAACCCACCAGGAAATGTGCTGATTTGGTAGTATGTTCATAGTGACTTCTTAGTCCCAGCCCTGGGAACATTAGGAATGCCCCAGTCAGATGGAGTGTGTGTGTGTGTGCACATGCTTGCATGCATCCATGTGTTTGGGCATGGTAGTGTAAATGGGGCACTCTGGGTGACCTTCTTCAGACTTTTTAAAAAAAATTTTTATTGGAGCATAGTTGATTTAAAATGTTGTGTTAGTTTCTGCTGTACAGCAATGTGACTCAGTTATACATATACATATATCCACTCCTCTTTAGATTCTTTTCCCATATAGGTCATTACAGAGTACTGAGTAGAGTTCCCTGTGCTATACAGTAGGTCCTTATTAGTTATCTATTTTATATATAGTAGTGTGTATATGTCAATCCCAATCTCCCACTTTATCCCTCTTCCTTCCCCCCCCGTGACCATAAGTTTGTTCTCTACATCTGTAACTCTATTCCTGTTTTGTAAATAACTTCATTTGTACCCTTAGACTCTTCTTGTACCTACTCCTGAGGAATGTGTTTGCATTGCGTTGGGTTTGGGAAAATCAGATCAGCATTTTATGCAGCCTCCCAAAGAGAGGAGCGAACAGGAGATGAACTTTCAGGGCCATAGGCCCTACTTTTCCACATGGATCTTCTGGGTCAAGGGTCAGAGACACAGGGTCCCTTAGACCAGTACCTGCAGACAGGGGGCCTCAGAATCTTCTAGGGAATGTGTTTAAATGCAGATGTCATGGTCAAACTCCACCCAGGTATACTGAATCAAACTCTGGAGTATACAGCCGAGGAATTTATATTTAAAAAAATACCCTAGATTGTTTTGTGATGTGAGTGGGTTTGCTGACTACTGCCTTACTTGGCCCTTCCTGCAAGGGGATGGTAGCAGCACTCAGCGTTGACATCAAGTCTTTTTGATTTTACCTCCGAAACATTTCTTGCATCTTCTCTGCATGTCCACTAATCACTGGCCAAGTCCAAGCTACCAGCATCACTGGCCTGGACCACTCCGTGGCCTCAAAGTTTCCCCTGCAGGGACTCATCCCCCTCCAATCGGTACTCAACACAGCAGCCAGAGTGGTCATTTCCAGTCTCAAGTCAGATTCTGTCACACTCCCCACCCTACCCTGACCCTCACTCCAGTTATTATTTTTTTCTTTTTCCTATCTTTTTTCCTTTGGCTGCACCACACGGCATGCGGGATCTTAGTTCCCTGACCTGGGATCAAACCTGTGCCCCTGCAGTGGAAGCATGAAGTCTTAACCACTGGACCGCCAGGCAAGTCCCGCTCCAGTTATTTCTTTCCATCGCTTTTAGGATGAACACGACATTCTTCTCACAGTCAGAGGACCTGCAGGACTGGATCCGCACCCTACCTCATTTCACAGCCATTGTTCCTGCTAATAGATCTCTCCACAGACCTGCCCCCCCACTCCTTTCACCTGCTCTTCCTTCAGGCTCAGCTGTCATCACTTCCCCAGGGACGCCTTCCCAACCTCTCAAGGGCTGCACTTTTCAGTTGCAATTTTTTACTAATTGATGCAATAATCTGATTAAACACGAGTCTTCATGTAGAATGTAACTTCCCATGGAGGCAGGGACCACATTTCTTCACTATCACAGCCCTAGTGCTTGGCTCTAAATAACTGTCCTCAGGACTTCCCTGGTGGTCCAGTGGTTAGGACTCGGCACTCTCACTGCCAGGACCCCAGGTTCAATACCTGGTTGGGGCACTAAGATCCCATAAACCGAGTGGCAAGGCCAAAACAAAAACAAAAACAAAAACCTGCCCTCGCCTCCATATGGCAGGTGTTGGCCATCAAGCAATCTTCAGTCAGAGAATATGCAGGGTCCTCGGATAGACCAGAGCTTTGTAATTATACGCAGGAGTTCCATTCATTTGTTCATTCATTCATGATGACAAATGTAGGATTAAGTGCCATTTTGAGCTGTTAAATTCTGGGCCTAGCTGGAGTCAGCCAGCACAGCAGGCACCGCTGGTAATGATTTGAACATGTCTGAACACTTGGCGTGCCTCACTTCCCTTGGCTCAATCAAAATAAACATCTACTGAACGTGAACCAGGGGCCAGACGTGCCCCTTGTCCTTAAGCAGCTTGTGATCTAGGGAGGAAAGACAGACACAAAACAAGTGACTACAAGTTTATGAGTTTTACCAAGGGGCATTCGAGTGTGCCATGGAGACACAGAAGAGGGGGCGCGAGTCTATTCTAGGGGTTCAGGGGAAAGCTCCCTGCAGAAGGAATATTTGAATTGAGGTTGAGGGTGAGTAGGAGTTAGAATAGGCCCTAGGGAGCGGCCCAGGTGAAGGCCAAGGTGAACTTCAGATGATAGGGCTATTTAATGGGCAGTAGGGAGCACCCAGTTCAACCTAATTCTCCTGTGAGTTGGGGCTTGGCCCATCCAGCCCTTATCCATCCTCTTAAGGGGCGGATGCTGCACTAAACGGGAGAGGGAGTCGAGTGGCCTGTGCGTGGGTACCTCTCGGGGCCCCCTCCTCTGACTCAGGCGGCACAGGAGCTGTTGTGAATTCAGCACCACTCTTGTTGGAGCAATATTAAACATCATGACCAAAGGCAGTTTTGACTCATTTATTTATTAATATAGAAAAGGAGCCCAAGGCAGCTGGACCAGTAGTACAAAGCACCAGGAGTTAATACTATTCTGGTGAAAGGGTTGGCTTTACAAAAGTGAAGGAGTAGGCAAGAGCTGCCCTGGTTCTGGGGCCAGGCCCAGCCTACTGCCCAGAACCTTGGAGCAGCACCTGGAACCAGCCGCTGGGAGAGAGTGACGGGGGGTCGGGGGCTGATGAGCTGGAGACCAGAAGGACAGGTGGCAGGGATGGGGGGCCAGGCAGTGAGAACCATCCTGTGGGTGATGAGGACAGGCAACTGCCGGCTGGACGCTCCCCACTGGACCCTGGGCAGAGGCTCACGTGAGCCTCAGCTCCAGGGGCAGGTAGAAAAACCCTGCGGATACTAGAGAGGTTGGGGATCCAGACACGGCTCAGGGTTGAAGGGCCTTTCCCTTCTCTCCACCAGGGGCCACCTTTCTCAACACTATGGGTGGGGCCTCAGGGCCCAAGGCACAGAGGGAGGCCCAGAGGCCTCCCAGCGGGAGGAAGAGGGGGCAGAAAGGAAGCACTTGAATGTTCCCAGCTTAGGCAGCTGGGGCTGAGACACAGGGCAGGCAAACAGCACCCCCGTACAGTGAGGCTGGAACGCAGGGCTGGGTTGGGCTTATCCTCAGCCAGGACCAGCCCCATGGCAACGGTGCTTGCCTCAAGCCTTAGCAAACAGAGTCTGCTGTGAGCACTGGCTCTCAGCAGACCCAGGTGCCAGCCCTAGCTCTCCTGGAACAGAGCTGTCTCACCATGGACCAGCCATGCCCTGCCCTGCCCTGGGCCTCCTCTGTTAATGAGGGCTTTGGATATGACCTCTCAGGTCACGGGAGCTGCAGGACCTGCTCTTGGTACTTAAGTGGGAACCAGTCCCAACCAGACTCCGGACAGAACTGGCATGGGCCGGGGGGCCGGGGGTGACGGGGGAGGAAGATGTTCCTGCACGGAACCTACCCCACACACACTCCAGAGCCAGGAAAGGCCACTGAGAGCCTCTCCTTCGCCCAGGGGAGGCGGCCGCCCTCCCTTTGGCACAGGGGGGACGCAGCTTGGTGTGACCCTTCATAACCACACCTGGGTAACACTCGGCATGGAGAGAACGGGGTGGCACTCTGCAAGCCTTTATGCTCTTCCCTGGGGTGGGGAGCTCAAGGCCACTTGTGGCTTTTGCCTCTAGCCCTTAGCGTAGAGAGGAGTGCTGTCCTTCTGTGGTCCTGCCCTGCGGACAGCCCGAGACTCTGCCTGGCTGGCACATGTTAGTTGGTCAGGAAGGGACAGAGGGGTGAGTAAGGGGACAGGGGGTGAGAGTGAATCTCTGGCTTTCTCCTCGCCCTCTAGGGAGAGCAGCTCAATCAACCGAGTCGCAGATCTCCTCCACCACTGCGTTGAAGATGTGTGGCTGGTCCGCGTACACGTGGTGTGAGGCGCCCTCAATCTCCTGTGGATGGAGGACCCCACCAGGGGCGGGACAGCCCTTTATTCAAGGCACTGGAAAGCTATTGCACCATTTCTTTTTCCCTTAAGCCTGCTTGCCCGTCGCCCATGAGCACTTATTTTATCTAAGACAACAGTCCACCTTTCTCCCCAGATCTTGGCACTTCCCTGTGGGAGTCAGTGAATCCCAATATCCCATCCTTCTCCTATGGCGCCTGATTTTATATTTCCTTCCATGCCAGCCCCTCCAGTGACCTGCTCATGTCAGCGACCTGCTCATGTCATCCACATGTCCACTAAAGCGGGGCCCATCAGGCACCAGCCTAATTAGGCACACTCATTAGCAAATGAGGGCCGGGGGGGGGATGGAGGAGTGTGGTGGGAAGGCTTCATGGCAGCCTCTACAGTTCCCAGCTCTGGTTTGGGGTGGGAATTACAGGGGGTGGAGGGACAGTGTGGTGCCTGTGCCTGACTACTGGACAAGAATCTGCCTTTCAGCTGAACCGAGCTACACAGAAGTGAGAAGCCCCTAATTATGATTTTACAGAGAGCCAACCCTTTCAAATCCACTACCATAGCTCAACCTGTCCACTCCTCTTTCCCCCCGACTCTCCCATCACCCTTCGCTACCCTGACTCAGCTACTCTGGGTCAGTCAACACGTGCTGGGATGTTGCAGTGTTTCCACCTCAATCCTGCTCCTCCAGTGGCCAACGTACCATGTCTCGGACGTAGGAATCCGGCCGCTGCAGCTTCACCTTTTTTCCCGTGCTGGTGTCTATCCAGGTGTTGGCCCCATAGATCATGGTGATGGGCATTTCTTTTTGAATCAAGTGAATTCGCTCTAACATGGGTCGCCGGGCCCAGCCAAAGGACTCCATCATGGTTTTGAATGCCGTCTCCCCACTGAAGAAGCAAAACAGGGTGAGGCAATGAATAAACGCCACAGCCTAAAATGTCAGTTTGTTGATCTCAGAGGCTGGGGAAGTATCTTTGTCATTCTTTGTGGTCCTCTCAGAGCCCAGCACTGGGCTCATTAAATATTAGGAAGATTAGGAGACAGGACTGAATCTCCAGAGGCTCCTATCACGTATGAGTTAGGAGGGACACACTTGTGAAAACTCCATGGCACTGAGAATTATCCAAGAGCCTAATAGGTTACTGTTTATTCAACAAATATTTATGTGGCATCCCGGAGCTGAGGGTGGGGACATACGAACAAGACAGACGCAGTGCCTGCCCTCCTGGAGCTCACATTATCTTCATACTTTAGGCATAAATAATGAATTATATGATTAACTTATCTTCAAATTTCCCAAGAATTATGAAAGGGTGGCGGAGTTCTAGGAGAACACAGACTAGGGACTTGGCTTCCTGGGGCTGAAGGAGAGGGTCAGGGGGTTCACTTGGGGTGGGCTCTGATGAGCAAGTACTACAGAAGCACAAAGGGCTTGCTGAAGAGAATGGAATGAAACGTCAGTCTTGTGAGGACCTGGGGGGAGCAGCAGTTTGTGCGACTTGAGAAGCAATGACGGCCAATCTAATCTCCTTTGCTCCCTGGCCATTTCCTTAGGGAGAGCTAACCGAGGCTGTGTCACGAGGGGTCTGCAAGGCTGGGGCAGAAGCCAGCTGTCCAGGTTGCTCTCCTGGGAAGCAGGAGAGGTTGGGGACACCGCCGCCCAGCAGGCTCAGCCTGTTTGGGAATTATATCCCCAGTCTCCTTTGCACCCCTGAGATGAAAGAGAGCCTGGGTTCTGCACAGGCCACCAGAAACAGGGCTCCTCCTTAAGGCAGTGCAGCATAGTGGAAAAATCATGGACTCTGGAGTCAGAGAGACATGAGTTCAAATCCTGGCTGTAGTTTCTAAGCAAGTCATGTAAACAAGAATACACCTTAATTTTCTCATTTACAGGCCGGGAGGAGTTATACCCACTTTATTAGGTCATTGTGAAGAAAATGAAAATATGTACAAAGCCCCTAAATTTAGGTGAAGCAAAGTAGGTACCCCATCCCCCAAATATTCTTCTTTGGCCAAATCGTATGTGTTCCAAGGGAATGGTAAGAGTTACCATGAGCTCATGAGGGTTACAACTCAGAAAGACTCGGGGGCTTATAAAATTGAGTGATGGTGTTTGGGGGAAGGGGCTGGTTATCACCGATGTCATCTCTGCTTCTTCTAGGATCTGAATGAGGTGTATGATTATGTACTCTGTGGCTTAGATTGGGAGGCCATTCATTATACGGAACTAGGTCTGGGACTGGGGAATGCTCTGAGGAAAGGGCTAGGGGTGGGCCTGCAGGGTCTCAGAGGGTATGAGACTGGCACTGAGCCCAGTGGGGGCTGAGAGGAGTCGAGAGCAGGAAGCAGTGGGCTTCCTGATTTGACTGTTGAGCTGAGTTTCTATACTGCTGCTTAAGCAGGGCCCTTCAATCAGCTGGGCTCCTGAGGAATGTTGGATGAACAGTTCCCACGCTGCCTGAAAGCTGTCTGGGTTTGACGCTAATGCCCAGACAGCACTGCTGGAATGCAAAACCCCAGTTGCTTCACAGCTTTCAGCTGAACAGTCCTGAAATGAGGCATGGCAGTGCTGCTGCTCCCAATGACCTTGGCTCCCCTGAGATGCCTCCCAGTAGTGTGGGGTGAGGCCCCCACAGAGGTGGTGCCTCATGGTATCAGCCACTCACATGGCACTGCCTGAGGGGAAGACTACCTCCCTGACTCTGCCCTGGATGGCACTTGTCAAGACTGTAGATCAGCAGGCTTCTGGGGCCTATGTCTGAGTTGTCATAGATATAAACTCCTAGAGATTCTGCGGACATCCCCAAATCCCCCAAAGATAGGGAAGGCATTCCTATCCCAACAGTATTTCAAGGTACACATAATTAAATTTTTAAATGCATAATCTATCCATCAGCAGTTCTATTTGTAGGAATGTAGTCTAGAGATAGTCACATGTGTGCAAAGGAAGATATGTAAGGAGGTTCCCTGAAGCAATGTCACATGATATCTCAGACCTAAACTAACAAGAAGATTCAGGAATTACAGGTCTGGGACAGGAGAAGACTTTCTTTCTTTCTTTTTTTTTTTCTTTATAAAAATACCATGTTCAGAGAAGAAGAAGAACTACGGTCCTGCAGCCTGTGGAACAAAAACCACATTCACAGAAAGATAGACAAGATGAAAAGGCAGAGGGCTACGTACCAGATGAAGGAACAAGATACAACCCCAGAAAAACAACTAAATGAAGTGGAGATAGGCAACCTTCCAGAAAAAGAATTCAGAATAATGATAGTGAAGATGATCCAGGACCTCGGAAAAAGAATGGAGGCAAAGATGGAGACAATGCAAGAAATGTTTAACAAAGACTTAGAAGAATTAAAGAGCAAACAAACAGAGATGAACAATACAATAACTGAAATGAAAACTACACTAGAAGGAATCAATCGCAGAATAACTGAGGCAGAAGAACGGATAAGTGACCTGGAAGACAGAATGGTGGAATTCACTGCTGCAGAACAGAATAGAGAAAAAAGAATGAAAAGAAATGAAGACAGCCTAAGAGACCTCTGGGACGACATTAAACGCAACAACATTCGCATTATAGGGGTCCCAGAAGGAGAAGAGAGAGAGGAAGGACCAGAGAAAATATCTGCAGAGTTTATAGTTGAAAACTTCCCTAACATGGGAAAGGAAATAGCCACCCAGGTCCAGGAAGTGCAGAGAGTCCCATACAGGATACACCCAAGGAGAAACACGCCGAGACACATAGTAATCAAATTGGCAAAAATTAAAGACAAAGAAAAATTATTGAAAACAGCAAGGGAAAAACGACAAATAACATACAAGGGAAGTCCCATAAGGTTAACAGCTGATTTCTCAGCAGAAACTCTACAAGCCAGAAGGGAGTGGCATGATATACTTAAAGTGATGAAACGGAAGAACCTACAACCAAGATTACTCTACCCGGCAAGGATCTCATTCAGATTCAACAGAGAAATCGAAAGCTTTACAGGCAAGCAAAAGCTAAGAGAATTCAGCACCACCAAACCAGCTCTACAACAAATGCTAAAGGAATTTCTCTAAGTGGGAAACACAAGAGAAGAAAAGGACCTACAAAAACAAATGCAAAACAACTAAGAAAATGGTCATAGGAACATACATATCGATAATTACCTTAAACATGAATGGATTAAATGCTCCAACCAAAAGACACAGGCTTGCTGAATGGATACAAAAACAAGACCCATACATATGCTGTCTACAAGAGACCCACTTCAGACCTAGGGACACATACAGACTGAAAGTGAGGGGGATGGAAAAAGATATTCCATGCAAATAGAAATCAAAAGAAAGCTGGAATAGCAATACTCATGTCAGATAAAATAGACTTTAAAATAAAGAATGCTACAAGAGACAAGGAAGGACACTACATAATGATCAAGGGATCAATCCAAGAAGAAGATATAACAATTATAAATATATATGCACCCAACATAGGAGCACCTCAATACATAAGGCAACTGTTAACAGCTGTAAAAGAGGAAATTGACAGTAATAGTGGGGGACTTTATCACTTCACTTACATCAATGGACAGATCATCCAAAATGAAAATAAATAAGGAAAAACAAGCTTTAAACAACACAATAGACCAGATAGATTTAATTGATATTTATAGGACATTCCATCCAAAAACAGCAGATTACACTTTCTTCTCAAGTGCGCACAGAACATTCTCCATGATAGATCACATCTTGGGTCACAAATCAAGCCTCAGTAAGTTTAAGAAAATTGAAATCATATCAAGCATCTTTTCTGACCACAATGCTATGAGATTAGAAATTAATTACAGGGGAAAAAACGTAAAAAACACAAACACATGGAGGCTAAACACTATTTTACTAAATAATCAAGAGAGTCAAAAAATACCTAGAGACAAATGACAATGAAAACATGACAATCCAAAACCTATGGGATGCAGCAAAAACAGTTCTAAGAGGGAAGTTTATAGCTATACAAGCCTACCTCAAGAAACAAGAAAAATCTCAAATAAACAATCTAACCTTACACCTAAAGGAACTAGAGGAAGAAGAACAAACAAAACCCAAAGTTAGCAGAAGGAAAGAAATCATAAAGATCAGAGCAGAAATAAATGAAATAGAAACAAAGAAAACAATAGCAAAGATCAATAAAACTAAAAGCTGGTTCTTTGAGAAGATAAACAAAATTGATAAACCATTAGCAAGACTCATCAAGAAAAAGAGGGAGGGCTTCCCTGGTGGCGCAGTGGTTGAGAGTCTGCCTGCCAATGCAGGGGACACGGGTTTGTGCCCTGGTCCAGCAGGATCCCACATGCCGCGGAGCGGCTGGGCCTATGAGCCATGGCCGCTGGGCCTGTGCGTCCAGGGCCTGTGCGTCCGGAGCCTGTGCTCCGCAACGGGAGAGGCCACAACAGTGAGAGGCCCACATACCACAAAAACAAAAACAAAAACCAAACAAAACAAAAAAAAAGAGCGAAAGAACTCAAATCAATAAAATTAGAAATGAAAAAGGAGAAGTTACAACAGACACTGCAGAAATACAAAGCATCCTAAGACACTACTACCAGCAACTCTATGCCAATAAAATGGACAACCTGGAAGAAATGGACAAATTCTTAGAAAGGTATAACCTTTCAAGACTGAACCAGGAAGAAATAAAAAATATGAACAGACCAATCACAAGTAATGAAATTGAAACTGTGATTAGAAATCTTCCAACAAACAAAAGTCCAGGACCAGATGGCTTCACAGGGGAATTCTATCAAACATTTAGAGAAGAGCTAACACCCATCCTTCTCAAACTCTTCCAAAAAATTGCGGAGGAAGGAACACTCCCAAACTCATTCTATGAGGCCACCATCACCCTGATACCAAAACCAGACAAAGGTACTACAAAAAAAGAAAATTACAGACCAATATCACTGATGAATATAGATGCAAAAATCCTCAACAAAATACTAGCAAACAGAATCCAACAACACATTACATACACCATGATCAAGTGGGATTTATCCCAGGAATGCAAGGATTCTTCAATATATGCAAATCAATCAATATGATACACCATATTAACAAACTGAAGAATAAAAACCATATGATCATCTCAATAGATGCAGAAAAAGCTTTTGACAAAATTCAACACCCATTTATGATAAAAACTACAGAAAGTGGGCATAGAGGGAACCTACCTCAACATAATAAAGGCCATATATGACAAACCCACAGCAAACATCATTCTCAATGGTGAAAAACTGAAAGCATTTCCTCTAAGATCAGGAATGAGACAAGGATGTCCTCTCTCACCGCTATTATTCAATGTAGTTTTGGAAGTCCTAGCCATGGCAATCAGAGAAGAAAAAGAAATAAAAGGAATACAAACTGGAAAAGAAGAAGTAAAACAGTCACTGTTTGCAGATGACATGATACTATACATAGAGAATTCTAAAGATGCCACCAGAAAACTACTAGAGCTAATCATTGAATTTGGTAAAGTTGCAGGATACAAAATTAATGCACAGAAATCTCTTGCATTCCTATACACTAATGATGAAAAATCTGAAAGAGAAATTAAGGAAACACTCCCATTTACCACTGCAACAAAAAGAATAAAATACCTAGGAATAAACCTAGGGAGACAAAAGACCTGTATGCAGAAAACTATAAGACACTGATGAAAGAAATTAAAGATGATACCAACAGATGGAGAGATATACCATGTTCTTGGATTGGAAGAATCAATATTGTGAAAATGACTATACTACCCAAAGCAATCTACAGATTCAATGCAATCCCTATCAAATTACCAATGGCATTTTTTATGAACTAGAACAAAAAAATCTTAAAATTTGTATGGAGACACAAAAGACTCTGAATAGCCAAAGCAGTCTTGAGGGAAGAAAATGGAGCTGGAGGAATCAGACTCCCTGACTTCAGACTATACTACAAAGCTACAGTAATGAAGACAATATGGTACTGGCACAAAAACAGAAACATAGATCAATGGAACAAGATAGAAAGCTCAGAGGTAAACCCACGCACCTATGGTCAACTAATCTATGACAAAAGAGGCAAGGATATACAATGGAGAAAAGACAGTCTCTTCAACGAGTGGTGCTGGGAAAACTGGACAGCTACATGTAAAAGAATGAAATTAGAACACTCCCTAACACCATACACAAAAATAAACTCAAAATGGATTAGAGACCTAAATGTAAGACTGGACACTATAAAACTCTTAGAGGAAAACATAGGAAGAACACTCCTTGACATAAATCACAGCAAGATCTTTTTTGATCCACCTCCTAGAGTAATGGAAATGAAAACAAAAATAAACAAATGGGACCTAATGAAACTTCAAAGCTTTTGCACAGCAAAGGAAACCATAAACAAAACAACCCTCAGAATGGGAGAAAATATTTGCAAATGAATCAATGGACAAAGGATTAATCTCCAAAATATATAAACAGCTCACGTGCTCAATATTAAAAACAAAAACCAATCCAAAAATGAGAAGAAGACCTAGATAGACATTTCTCCAAAGAAGACATACAGATGGCCAAGAAGCACATGAAAAGCTGCTCAACATCACTAATTATTAGAGAAATGCAAATCAAAACTACAATGAGGTATCACCTCACACCAGTTAGAATGGGCTTCATCAGAAAATCTACAAACAACAAATGCTGGAGAGGGTGTGGAGAAAAGGGAACCCTCTTGCACTTGGAATGTAAACTGATACAGCCACTATGGAGAACAGTATGGAGGTTCCTTAAAAAAACTAAAAATAGAATTACCATATGATCCAGCAATCCCACTACTGGGCATATACCGAGAGAAAACCACAATTCAAAAAGACACATGCATCCCACTGTTCATTGCAGCACTATTTACAATAGCCAGGTCATGGAAGCAACCTAAATGCCCATCGACAGACGAATGGATAAAGAAGTTCTGATACATATATACAATGGAATATTACTCAGCCATAAAAAGGAACGAAATTGGATCATTTGTTGAGATGTGGATGGATCCAGAAACTGTCATACAGAGTGAAGTAAGTCAGAAAGAGAAAAACAAATATCG